GAGCAAACACGTCTTCTCAACATTTTACAGTCAGAAAGATTCTATTTATAATTCCTTTAAGACTTTATGACAGTTGTTTTGTGATTTCCAGACGTTTATAAAGAAACACTCCATGTCCTGCTGTTAAACACTACATCAATATGCTGACATCATTACAAATGTGTGGGGGGGATTCTCCTTTTACGGCTCCTGGTGTTTTGAGCCTGCTGTATTTAATCAATCAGGATGAAATGTGTAGATATTAAGCTGTGTGTGTTAGGGGATGTGTGTGTGTGTGTGTGTGTGTGTTTGTACGCCTGCTGTTGTGTAAACTTTATAAATATGTTAATTTAAACCTGACTCCTCTGCATCTTCTTCTCTCATTCGAAGTCAGTGTCACTCTCCCGGTTTGGTTTAGTGCCTTTTCTCGCAGACCCTCTGAAATAAAAACAGTAATACCTCTGGAAACACGAAAATGCCTGGAGTCTGTTCACGCTGTTAGCAGAAGAGGTCAAAGGTCACGTCTGTTGAAGGTCTGTTCAGAAGCGCTGTTGTGGTTCACTCTGCGGCTGAATTGGTATTTGTTTTCCACATTGAAAGCATATTGGGGCCAAGGTACAAATACATGAATCCAATCCACTTTATTTCTATAGCACATATTAAAAACAGGGCTTACCGAAGTGCTTCACAGCAAACATAACATTATAATAAAAATATAATATTACAATAATAGATAAAAGGCACACATAAGAATAGATAAAAGGCACATCAAGGCTATGGACAGACAATAAAAACATACAAATCGATAAACAGCTCAAACTGAGGCAAAAGAGGTGGGTCTTCAGGCGGGACTTAAAAGTTTGAAGGGTGGGCGACAATTTGACATGGGGGGGGGGGGGCAGGTCGTTCCAGAGCCTGGGGGCTACCGCTGAGAAGGCTCGGTCTCCCCTGGTCTTTTTCTTGGTTTTAGGGACTACTAGCAGCAGCTGATCAGCCGACCTCAAAGCCCTTGAGGGGGGGTCCACCTGTAGGAGGTCGGAGATGTACTGAGGGGCCAGCCTATTAAAGTTTGAGAAACCGGCTCGAGATACACTTTTTGTTATATTCCATGGAATGCTCTTAACATCCCGATAGCAATGAATATCTGAAGTGCTTTGACAAAAAATCCATAAACAAATATCATCTGTGGAAGCCGTAGTACTGTAAAAAGCACGACCAATCATCTGAGCCGGCCCGGCTAAAATAACTGGATGGCCTACCTGCCTGTCAGCCTTCCATCTGTGCACAAACTTATCTCGTGCCCTCATTGGTCATGTGCGCGTTCGTGTGTGTTGGAGGAGGGGCTCTGTAAGGAAGTGGCAGATTTTCTCCGGCTGTGTATTTTCAAATTCTAGCGCACTCGAGCTGGTTTCTCCAAAATTACCTACCCCACCTTTAAGCGATTTAAAAACAAACAATAACATCTTAAAATGAACTCTAAAATGGACAGGAAGCCAGTGGAGGGAAGCCAGAATTGGGGAAAGGGTAATGTTCAAGGTTAAAAAAATCAATGTACGCTTTGTAGTAGTAGCAGTATTAGTAGTGTAGTATGTTGAAAAAGTGACAAACGGAAACACCTTTAATTTCAAAGTACGACAGGTTTATTAACACATAAATTAAAGGCAGGAAATATATATTCTGTTAAACACAATGCTGTATAAATCAGTGTTGTGAGAATACAAGACAACTGTTTCAAGTGTAGAAACATGACATTAAACAAGCAGGTTCAAATCAGAAATACAGAACAAAGACACTGAACATTTATTGAATTATTTAAGGTCAAATTATACTTTTGTATATACGTCCACATGACCGACCCACCGTGCATCGTTTAGCATCTCTATTCTCTTTAGACGTTTCACTCATTATATTGTCTGTAAACCACTGATACTTCTGGAGACTCACAAAATAGTTTGCTGTCAATTATGCTTCTTAGAAAGATAGAAAATCCTCCAACATCCTGAAAATATTGCAGTTTCTCTTTCCCTATTTATTGGAAAATCTCCCAAAGCATGTAAATATCCTCCATCATCTGTTCAATTAGGAGCATCACTCAATACGTGTTCAGTCATTGGCTGAACATCACATCAGTCAGTATTTATTTTCTTCTCCATGATGGAATAATAGTGCAATCAAATTGCTTCTGTGACCAATCAGATCAACAGATTTCTCATATGTCTCGGAGTGAAGCGTAGTTTATCCGTTATCAGTTTATTTATCGTGGCCACATCCCCCACGCTAACCCCGGCAGGACGAGAGCGATGATGACGGAGGTGAAGAGGTTCACGGCGTTGTTGTCCAGGATGGGTTTCCCACAGATCCGGGTCGTTGTGGCCGACTCGTAACTGACCACCTTCCCAATGCTGGCGTCAAAACCTACAGACGGACGGAGGAGACGCTGGTTAGTGACTTTTTGCAAATGCAATATCTCAGAAGGAAACATGGCCTGGGAACATTTAGCCACTTCTGTGCATTGTGAAGTATTTACTTTTGCTATACTATGACTTTAAAAAAAATGTCAACATACTATATGACTTTTTTCAACATACTATACTATAACTTTTTTCACTTCTTCGACATAACTATACTATGACTTTTTTCGACATACTATGATTTTTTAAAAACTTTTTCTGACATGCTGTACTGTGACTTTTTTGCACTTTTTCGACATACTATAGGCGCTTTCACACCGGAGTACTTTTCCCAGGAATAGTTCCGATAGTTCCTGGGATTTTGCGTTCACATCAAAAAGATCTGGAACTAGAACTTAGTTAATGAGAACCTTTTCAGTCCCTGCTAGAGAGCAGGTTCTTTCCTAGGGAGAAAAAGGTTCCCATTTCTGATTGGCTGGGCGAATTGCAAACCACGGCCCGTAAAACTCCGAAAAGTTTTGTGAAGCCGCCATTTTATTTGCTCGCATTAGCATTATTAGCATTAGCATTAGCCCAGCGCACCAACGGAGAGAGACTAACTTATGGCAACACAAAAGAAAACATGGGAGCGGTGGAGATGAGGAGGTGTCGGCGTTCTAGCGATTTCTACTGAAGCCTTCCCCAACTCCGGGGACTTCCGGTCGAGGACTCCGGGTGGCAGTATACTCCGTGAAGTTGTTTGCGGCCTGCCAGTAAACCCAAAGCAGAAGAAGAAGAAGTGACGTCAGCGGCTTCATTTGCCTAACCCTCCCTCAGGGACTTATTCCGGTGTGAACGCGATCTGCTAGATAGTTCAGGAATTAAAGAGGTCCGGGAACTCTTCCTGGGAAAAGTACTTGGTGTGAAAGCGCCTATTGACGTTTTTCACTTTTTCAACATACTACACTAACAGAAGAAGAGGGGTATCCTTGAATGTAAACAAGCTAGATTGTTTCGGAGACTGGTTGAAGGGTCCGTTAGATTTAGTATTCTGATTCTGATTTAAGTACCACTACCTGATAATAAAGATTGATGTCAATGGGACTGTCACTGTGTCTGTGTTGTTTATAGTATGTCGAAAAAAGTCATATTACAGTATGTAATATGTTAAAAAAAAGAATGTCATTGTATGTCTTAAAAAATGAAAAGTCATAGTATAGTATGTCTTAAAAATAAATGTCATAGTATAGTATGTCTTAAAAGGTGAAAAAAAGCAATAGTATAGTATGATGAAAAACTGAAAAGTCATAGTATGGTATGTCGAAAAAATATAGTATGTCTTAAAAGGTGAAAAAAAGTAATGTATAGTATGTTGGAAAAAGGTACAGCCCCAGTATTGTATGCTGAAACTGTACTGTTCCCACCTGAGTACTGCATGTGAGCCCCCAGGAAAGAGTCCAGCATGGACCCCAGCAGCCCGGCCATGCCTGCGTACACCATGACGGGCCACTGAGAGTCGGCCATGTTCAGGTCCCCCACAAACAGCAGCTGAGTCACGTAATAGGCCACGCCCACCGTGAGACCCCCGAGGAAACTGGCCAACAGTCCCACTGCAGTCACTCCTCCGTTGGTTCCTGGTGGGAAGAGAGAGGAACATTTAAGAGAGAAAGTAGAATAGAAAAAATGCACCAGAAATATAATTGTCATCTCATTGAATAACGCACTCTGACAGAATATATAAAAAAGACATAGTATGTGGAAAAAGTGAAAAGAATCACACTTTTTCGGCCTACTACACTATGACTTTTCTCACTTTTCCCGTCATATTACAGTATGTTGTAAAAGCCTCTCACCTGCAGGGACCTCCTTCCAGGTGGTGATGAGTCTGGGCTGTGATTGGCTGAGCATGGGCCCCACCTCAGAGCTCCAGGTGTCCCCGGTGCTGCAGGCGAGCGCTCCGAGCAGAGAGAGACACATCCAGGAGGCCGTGTACTGCTTACTGAAGTCTATGGGGATCTCACCGGGACCCACCTGACACACACAGGTATATATATGTTATAACAATAATAATACGTTTATTTTGTAAGCGCTTTTACAGGTGCTCAAAGTCGCTTTACAAAGGTAGTAAAAAAGGACAACAAATAAATATATTAAGTAATATTAAAATCGAGCAATAAACAACAATCACACATTAAATTAAATGATACACTAAAGAGGAAATGTAAAGGTGGTTTATACTTTCAGAAAATGTCAGAAAATAATAGTATGATTTATTTTCGACAAACTATACTAAGACTTCTTCACGTTTTCGCACGTACTTTTTTCAATTTTTCGACTTGTACTTTTTTCGACTTATACTCTCAGAAAGTGGTGGAATGCTAACCAAGTATCTTTACTTTGGTACTGTACATATTCGATGAAACAAACATATTATGATCCTACAGAATTAGCTAGCAACCAATATACAAAAATGAATTAAAACACCTACAGCATTATTATGTGGAAAATGTCAAAAAATGATGTGAAAAACTTCCAGAAAATATGAAAAAAATGTCCAAGAAATTACACAAAAAGATATGTTTGGACAAATGTCAAGACATTATGTGAATACGTATTGAAAAATTACAATAGTTTTTATACAAATTTGGTAATAAATGTCTGAAGAAATTACAATAAATATGTGCATGCAAAATGTTTTCTTATGTTAAAAGATATACACATTATTTCACAGTTATAATAACCCGAAAACATCAGATATATAATAGTAAAACTATGGAAATATACATTTACAGACAGACAGACAGACAGACACACACACACTCTCTCTCTCTCACCTCCTGATAGTACTTTTACCAGGTTAGGTCTTGATGCAGGACTTCTTGTGGAGGAAGATCTTAACGGTGTGGTATTATAACTTTTAAAGGATCTAATAGTTAAATCACAAAGTGTGTGTTTACCTCGATCATGTAAAGCAGTGCCAGCTCTGTGGGAACTCCTCCGTTACAAAACACCTGGATCCAGTTCCTCTGACCCCCTGAAACACACCCAAAGGTTTATAAAAACAATTTAAAAAAAAAGGGAAGAATGAAAACAAAGCTTCTGGTAATCTCACCTTCTTTGTAGTCGGCGTCGATCCTCTTCTTCTGCGCTCCCCCCCAGCGCGTGAGTTTGGAGGAGGTGATGAAGAAGGCCAGCAGGGAGGAGAAGAAGCTGTAGTTGGCCATCGTCAACACAAAGCCCACGAGGAGAGCTGAGGAAACACACGTTAAACATTAAAGAACATATTTGAATTCACACAGATTTAAAGGTCTCCTATTATTCTGTTTTCATCAATATATCACAGCTCTCAGATATATACAGAGCCTGTCTCTGATTGGCTGAAACACCAAACAGATCATTGCAGCATTACCCATAATCCCCTCTGTTTCAGCCCTGTTTCCAAAGTGCTGATTCTCTGTCTGTTACTTTAGATGAAAATAAGGAGCCCCTCCCCACGCCCCTCTGAGAGAGATTTGGTTACAAAGAACTCAATGGTGCTCTAGGAGGAGATTCAGGGGATAAGGTGGGGGGGGGGGGGGGGGGGGGGTTACCTTGGTTGCTGATTGGCTAATGGTTACACAAGCCAAAACATCGTTATGACATCATCAAGTGGCCAAAATCTGATCAGCTCATTTTCAGACAGATTTTTATATAAATGGATCAGGACAAAAAGAGAGAGAATCTTTTGGCGCGTTTCCACTACACGGCCTCGCTCAGCCTCGCTCGGTATGGCTAGGCCTCGTTAGGCCAGGCTCACTTTATGCTGCGTTTCGATTACAGTTTAGGAACTGGGGCAGTAACTATAGTAACGCAGTGTAGGCGGAGCCGTGACGTCATCTTCAATGAGAAACACAAAACCAACATCAGCCGTTAGCTGTTAGCACTCAGAGCTCACAGCTCCTTATATCTGTTCAGAAACTAGACAAAAGTTAAACAAGTACAAACCACAGACTGCCTGTGTCATGGCGAATACAGTCGCTGCTTTATTTATGTCTGTAGGCCGTTGTTGTGAGTGTGGACGGTCGGAGCAATATACTGCGTTAGCTTAGCCAATCTCCATTCAGAAAACACGCATTTTAAAAGGTGTTTCGCCTGCCGTCTGTCTGCAGACTTGTCAAAGCATTAATTCATGGTTTTTACTAACCGGTATCAGTATGTTGTTACTTCGGTATCATTTTGAAACGTGTATTACAATTAAATCACGGTCAAATATGTTCATCTTGTTGTAGTTGTAGCCCCCTTGCCAGCGATCCTCTCTCTAGTTTAGCATACTCAGCCCGACTCAGCCTCATTGTTCCTGGCCCTAGACCCACGATTTTATGAGGCCAGAAAAACTGTGAATTAGGACCCGCTAGCCGGTACTAGGCCAAGTGGAAACGCAACCAAAGACGGGCCGCTGACGTCACAGCTCTCTTAAACCGTGCTCCGCGCTGCAGTGCAAACGCGCCATTTGTTACTGAAACTTTCAGAGTCTCGGGACACATGTTGATGAAGAAGAGACATGAAGAAGAGGGGACACATGTTGATGTAGAAGAGACATGAAGAAGAGGGGACACATGTTGATGAAGAAGAGACATGAAGAAGAGAGGACACATGTTGATGTAGAAGAGACATGAAGAAGAGGGGACACATGTTGATGTAGAAGAGACATGAAGAAGAGGGGACACATGTTGATGAAGAAGAGACATGAAGAAGAGGGGACACATGTTGATGTAGAAGAGACATGAAGAAGAGGGGACACATGTTGATGTAGAAGAGACATGAAGAAGAGGGGACACATGTTGATGAAGAAGAGACATGAAGAAGAGGGGACACATGTTGATGTAGAAGAGACATGAAGAAGAGGGGACACATGTTGATGTAGAAGAGACATGAAGAAGAGGGGGACACATGTTGATGTAGAAGAGACATGAAGAAGAGGGGACACATGTGATGTAGAAGAGACATGAAGAAGAGGGGACACATGTTGATGAAGAAGAGACATGAAGAAGAGGGGACACATGTTGATGTAGAAGAGACATGAAGAAGAGGGGACACATGGTTGATGTAGAAGAGACATGAAGAAGAGGGGACACATGTTGATGTAGAAGAGACATGAAGAAGAGGGACACATGTTGATGTAGAAGAGGACATGAAGAAGAGGGGACACATGTTGATGTAGAAGAGACATGAAGAAGAGGGGACACATGTTGATGAAGAAGAGACATGAAGAAGAGGGGACACATGTTGATTGTAGAAGAGACATGAAGAAGAGGGGACACATGTTGATGAAGAAGAGACATGAAGAAGAGGGGACACATGTTGATGTAGAAGAGACATGAAGAAGAGGGGACACATGTTGATGAAGAAGAGACATGAAGAAGAGGGGACACATGTTGATGTAGAAGAGACATGAAGAAGCGGGGACACATGTTGATGTAGAAGAGACATGAAGAAGAGGGGACACATGTTGATGTAGAAGAGACATGAAGAAGAGGGGACACATGTTGATGTAGAAGAGACATGAAGAAGAGGGGACACATGTTGATGTAGAACATGAAGAAGAGGGACAAGTGAAGAAGAGGGGACACATGTTGATGAAGAAGAGACATGAAGAAGAGGGGACACATGTTGATGTAGAAGAGACATGAAGAAGAGGGGACACATGTTGATGTAGAAGAGACATGAAGAAGAGGGGACACATGTTGATGAAGAAGAGACATGAAGAAGAGGGGACACATGTTGATGTAGAAGAGACATGAAGAAGAGGGACACATGTTGATGTAGAAGAGACATGAAGAAGAGGGGACACATGTTGATGTAGAAGAGACATGAAGAAGAGGGGACACATGTGATGTAGAAGAGACATGAAGAAGAGGGGACACATGTTGATGAAGAAGAGACATGAAGAAGAGGGGACACATGTTGATGTAGAAGAGACATGAAGAAGAGGGGACACCATGTTGATGTAGAAGAGACATGAAGAAGAGGGGACACATGTTGATGTAGAAGAGACATGAAGAAGAGGGGACACATGTTGATGAAGAAGAGACATGAAGAAGAGGGGACACATGTTGATGTAGAAGAGACATGAAGAAGAGGGGACACATGTTGATGTAGAAGAGACATGAAGAAGAGGGGACACATGTTGATGAAGAAGAGACATGAAGAAGAGGGGACACATGTTGATGTAGAAAATACATGAAGAAGAGGGGACACATGTTGATGTAGAAGAGACATGAAGAAGAGGGGACACATGTTGATGTAGAAGAGACAGGAAAAAGTGGATTTTGCATAATAGGGGACATTTAAAATATAACCTCGCAAACCATACTGCTTCTTTAAAAAGGATTATGGTTGGTAAAAGTATTGTCAGCTAAATGTAGTTAAAGTATTTATTTTGTTTGGTGTCATAGTTTTACTATTATATATGATGTTTTTTCGGGTTATCCTTACTGTGTATTAATGTGTATATTTTTTGGCTTAAAAAAAAAGAAATTGTGATGTTTTTCGGACATTTAAACACATTTGTCCGAAATGTTTTAACATATCTTTGGGAATTATGTTAGCACTTGTCTTTCCACGGGGAACTGAAGAAGTTGTATCCATCTATGATCTCTTTAAAGTCACCAGACTCCATTGATAGGAACTGTGCTTTAATTCAGGATGAGCTGGTCTACGTCTACCTTCATAAGTCTGTGTTATTGTGTGAGTTTGGAGATTTAAAAAGTGCTTTTGGATTAGGCACAAAAAACCATAAACAACAACAACCTAATAGAGGCAGTGGTTGAAAAGCAGCTCGTTCAATTACAGTTTTTATTATTCAATGGAGAGAGATTATCAAAAGGCTTTATTTTACATATGCACATTAGCTACACCTTAGCAATTTAAATATAGAGTATTAGGCTCCTCCAACAATGAAACATCCTTAATATAAAAGACAAATACCTAAAACAGTGCAATAGACATAATGGTGCAAGTACGTTGCAGGAATATTAAAATACATATAAGATATCTCTGAAAGCAAGTTAACACAGGAACATATCCTAAATAAAGTGTTCACTTAAACTAATATTGATCTATTTAGGTGTCCAAAGTACGTATATTGGTATACTTTCTGATGGTAGTCCTGACTTTTTTACAAATGATATCTACTGTAGGAAATACACACTCAGTACTTCAAACTATCTGAACTTCTACTGTCACTAGAAAGATTTTCTCATATCTTTAAAACCATAAAACCACAGTCGCATCTATGATCTCAAACTCTCCCACATTGACGTCATCCTCCTTTTGAACATATTGCAATGGTTACGGAGGTCAAATGGATTCATTTAGCAGTGATGAGATGCATTCCCACAGCTCAGAGGAAATGGTTAGGGTTATAGAATGAACCCCAGATTGTGACATTTTAAATAAACAGTTTGGTTGTTCGAGAGTTACTGATAATTAACGGGGAATATCATCGGTGACTTTGATATTCAATTATCTTAGCTGCTATCATTTCTATGATTGAACTGCAGAGGATTTATCATGGATTTTTAAAAGGTTGAGAACAAAGCTCAAGGCTACAAAACGGGTGATAAGAAGTTCTGAGGCTTTTACTCAGTTTTTATATACGCAATATAGTATTTATTCCACCCCTAAGTTATTCTACCCACTTTGATATTCTATTTCCCTCTCCTGTAGTGTGTTATATAGGTTTTAGTGTATGTAAATGGTCTGCAGAGGCTAAAATCACAAAGTTGTACCAATCAGAACACTTCACTTAAAGGGGACCAATCAGAACACTTCAATTAAATTACAGGGGCCCTATTCTGTTTTTTGGGGTGTGAGGGGACCAATCAGAACACTTTCCTTAAAGGGGCCCTATTCTGTTTTTTGGGGTGTGAGGGGACCAATCAGAACACTTTCCTTAAAGGGGCCCTATTCTGTTTTTTGGGGTGTGAGGGGACCAATCAGAACACTTTCCTTAAAGGGGCCCTATTCTGTTTTTTGGGGTGTGAGGGGACCAATCAGAACACTTTCCTTAAAGAGGCCCTATTCTGTTTTTTGGGGTGTGAGGGGACCAATCAGAACACTTTCCTTAAAGAGGCCCTATTCTGCTTTTTGGGGTGTGAGGGGACCAATCAGAACACTTCACTTAAAGGGGCCCTATTCTGTTTTTTGGGGTGTGAGGGGACGAATCAGAACACTTTCCTTAAAGAGGCCCTATTCTGTTTTTTGGGGTGTGAGGGGACCAATCAGAACACTTTCCTTAAAGGGGCCCTATTCTGTTTTTTTGGGGTGTGAGGGGACCAATCAGAACACTTTCCTTAAAGAGGCCCTATTCTGTTTTTTGGGGTGTGAGGGGACCAATCAGAACACTTCACTTAAAGGGGCCCTATTCTGCTTTTTGGGGTGTGAGGGGACCAATCAGAACACTTTCCTTAAAGAGGCCCTATTCTGTTTTTTGGGGGGTTTTCCCCTTCCCTGTAGTGTGTTATATAGGTTTTTAGTGCATGTAAATGGTCTGAAAAAGGCTAAAATCCCATTCCGGAACACAGTGTCATCACTTTGGAACACTTTTGCTTCTATTGGCTAGCGCTCCAACACATTGTACGTGATAGGCTAAGGGGCGGGACATCTCTAAGCTGGTTGACCAATCACAACAGAGCCGGCCAGCTAACCAATCAGAGCAGCTCTGGTTTCAGACAGAGGGTGAAAAGAAGGGGAAATGAATATTATATGTCCTCTTTAAGAAAAATCCATAGGTTATTTTATAAGAAATGATGCATTATCCTTATAAGAAACATTTAGAATAGGATCAACTCACTAAGTTTCAACGATGACTTAAATATTAATACTTACAACTTCTTCAATATAGTAAAACTCAGAGGGGTAATTCACCGTAATGAATGTTTTAACTTTGTATTATTTGGTACATTTGGTTCTTGTATTTCAACAGCATTTATCAAAGCCAGAAACCGTGAAAACTGAAATTATCTTCACTGTTTTCTAATTTTCCAATAGTCCTAAAAATCATTACGTGTTACGAAAGCTTCGGTCAGGAAAATGTCAGCAAATATAAGCAGAATAAAACCGTTTTATTTAATCAAAATGTTCTTTTTCTCCACATTAGATTTAGCCAAAAGCAAACACTTAAAACCCTGAGCCACTCATTCAAGAAATTCCCCTTGAGTTTTAAATGCATCCTCGTGATATATGGCATTAACGGTGTTTCAAAGCACACTTTTGTAAAATAACAGGAGGAAATTTAGCCAAATGAGCATGAAGCATGTTTTCCAATGGAGTCAAAGAGAAACCTATATTTAGGGAAATGGTTTTGGACTAAGACAAGATCTCAACCTGCAGATTCCACACATTTACTTGTGATTAAATCAGTTTAAAGACTCCACTAGGGGATTTGTGTCGCTGTGTGTTCTTTGAGCTCCAGGACAAGAGTCACATCTGTTCGTATCGACATTAAAACTGTGACAGAGAGGCTTTCAGTAACTCATCTGCTGACTAGAAAAACTGCCCGGAGACATCGTGATAATGTGAAGCAGAACATAAAACAGGACCCTTATGCTTTGAATGCCGTCACCAAAAACTGTGATTGTACGTTGCAGGACATGAGATCCACCTCTGCCTCCATCTGACCGTTTGATTGTGTTGTTGTGTCTCACCATTTAAACCACTAACGTCACACAAGTAAACAAACGTATTGAGGCAGGCGTAAACAAGCAGCTCCTGTGTGTCGCTATGGAGTCTGGTGGCTTTAAAGAGATCATAGATGGATACAACTTCTTCAATTCCCAATTCCTGAGAATCACTGCTGACCACCATAGCAGGCTTTTGGCAGACAGCAGTGTGTGTGTGTGTGTGTGTGTGTGTGTGTGTGTGTGTGTGTGTGTGTGTGTGTGTGTGTGTGTGTGTGTGTGTGTGTGTGTGTGTGTGTGTGTGTGTGTGTGTGTGTGTGTGTGTGTGTGTGTGTGTGTGTGTGTGTGTGTGTGTGTGTGTGTGTGTGTGTGTGTGTGTGTGTAGAGCTTTAAATTGTGCTGTTCACGGAGATAATGGTGCAGGGAAATGATTACGTAGAATGCCGCTGATTGCATTTAGCACACACACACTCTCTCTCACCTCCCAGAGCTCCTGAGTAGTTCAGGCTTTTCCTCTTCAGCGCTCGGGCCGTCAGCATCAGAGGAACCAGGATGGAGAACAACCATCGCCATGGAGACACAGGTTGAAGTGTTCCTAAAAACACACACACACACACACACACACACACACACACACACACACACACACACACACACACACACACACACACACACACACACACACACACACACACACACACACACACACACACACACACACACACACACACACACACACACACACACACACACACACACACACACACACACACACACACACACACACACACACACACACACACACACACACACACACACACACACACACACACACACACACACACACACACACACACACACACAATAAGGATTAATCAAATCCTACTCCTTTTGTCTAAACATTTAAAAAACTTTTGAAACATTGCAATAATTATTTCAATAATATTTGTCCTTTCAAAAATCTAAAAAGTAACTTTTTTTAGGCCGAGTTGAGAGATGTCCTGTACCAGATGTGGGTGACAATTTATCAACATTTATAAGATAAGATAACAAATAATAAAACGATGTTAAAACCCACCGCTCACAAGGAAGAACAAATAAGTGATGATGAACATAAGATGCTGAAAGTGAACCAAAAACAAGGTTTGTGACGTTAAATAATAATAATAATAAACTTAATTTGTAGACCACCTTTCATGCACAAAGCAGCCCAAAGCATAACAACCAGCGTTTCCGCCAGGGGGGCGTCTTGCCGTCATTTGACGCCCTGAACTCGAGCCGAGGGCGTCCACATTTTTTTATAATTTGAGAGAAGATCGAGAGTTTTTATCGCTTGAAATAACGAAAAGGAAAAAGGACATCCCTCTGTTGGAAGACAAAGGAGTCTGGTGGGATTCTTTTTGGAGTATTGAAGATCATTTTCCCGGTGCCTGCCACAGCACAACACGGAACGTGCACGATTTGAACGCGATGAGCTTGGGGGGTGCTAGTGGAGCACGCGCGTGAACTGCGAGCGCCGGAGCCTCGCAGCGGCGAAACTGAGGCTCCGTGGTGAACTGTGGTAACATGAAGAGCCGTCTGGGAGGCGGAAGAGCCGTCTGGGAGGCGGAAGAGCCGGCGCTTTAAGAGAGCCGAGCCAAATGATCCGGCTCACTAACGTAAAGAGATAGTATCGATAAGGGACGGCTCAATTCAAAATCCCCGCTCTCGGGGTGGACGCCCTCTCAGCCCTGGTCTGGCGGAAACACTGATAACAACAATATTAAAATAAATACAGAACAAGATAAAACAAGTCGGAAGAGCCCAAGGACTTTTCAGGAAGCCGCCACAGAGATGTTTTCTAACAGTAAAATGTAAAATAGATGTTATTATCTTCGGACCGACCTGAGTAGGTGCTGATGGTGAGCGAGAGGACCCAGAAGAAGAGAGAGAGAGCCAGAGTGGCACACAGGATGATCATATCCGTCATCATCTTCAGGCTTTCCTTCAGCAGCAGATCCTGATCAGGCGTCATGCTGAGACACACGCAGAGCTGCAACAAACAACACATTTATATATTCATTATATATTGATTTATCCTGGGGGAAATGGGTTTGTTGCTGTATTTAAATAAAATGGTATGAAATGTTTAATGTCTGTTTGAAAGATCTCTTCTTAGTGACCTCGTTTTGTGCAATAATTGTGTGTGTGTGTGTGTGTGTGTGTGTGTGTGTGTGTGTGTGTGTGTGTGTGTGTGTGTGTGTGTGTGTGTGTGTGTGTGTGTGTGTGTGTGTGTGTGTGTGTGTGTGTGTTGTAGCGTGTACTGTCTCTCTCTCTGTCTCTCTCTCTCTGTGTGTCTGTGACCGTGGCTGATGTAGTGTGTTCTCTGTGTGTGTGTGTGTGTGTGTGTGTGTATGTGTGTGTGTGTGTGTGTGTGTGTGTGTGTGTGTGTGATGTAGCAGCGTGTACTGTCTCTCTCTCTGTCTCTCTCTCTCTGTGTGTCTGTGTGTGTGTGACCGTGGCTGATGTAGTGTGTACTGTCTCTGTCTCTGTGTGTGTGTGTGTGTGTCTGTGTGTGTGTGTGTGACACCGTGGCTGATGTAGCGTGTAATCTTTGTTAATAAAGTGGCTTTTTTAGTACCAAATTCCCTCTTAATGACTCCATGTTCTCTCTGCAGATCAACAGGAAACATTGTGAGAGAAACAGAGAGCAGACTGTGGACCAAAGTTCACCAAACACACTGGAACTGTGGGAGAAACCTTCTGATTTTCCTCAGGGAAAACTGATATCATCTTCTGTTTTCTGCACAAAATAAGCTCTGTGTGTTTGGTCTCCCATCTCCTAAATAACAAATGCACCGGAAAGGGACTTTTCAACAGTGCTTATGAACAGCAAGAGGTTTTGAAGTAAAAGTACTGAAACCACACAGTGAAAATACTGCATTCCCTCATTTATCATGTAGGAATTATTTAGCCATTATTTAAAAACGACATTTCCCATGTACAAATATGTAAGTATTATTAGTTAAATGCACTTAATAGGAGTGTGGGAAAATGTTCTTTAATATTTCTGAATTGTTCACATATTTTCTGATTATTTAAAAGACATTTTTCAGAATTTTCAGGCCTTTTTTTTTTACATATCATTATTATTATATTTTTTATATATATTTCAAATATTTTCTGGCCATTTTTCAGACATTTCTAAGAACATTTTTCTGATATTTTCTGTAATTATTCCGACATTTCTAAAAATAATTTCCCGACTTTATATAGACATTTTTCTGATGTATTTCACAAATCTTCCATCTCCTTACTGCTGCTTTAAATCCCTTAATAGACTGTTGTGTAGTTTAATCTACAGCAATGCATCATAATCTTTATATATACAGTCTATGATCATAATCTATAAATACTGTTTGTAGCTTTTGTGTCCCTCTACCACTATCTTTATGCATAAAAACCTGCTAATATTCAAGATAACTTGGATTGGTAATATGAAAAGTACCTGGAGCTGTGAGGAGTACAACGACTAATAATAACCTATTAATTTAATGTAGTATAAGTATAAAGCTGCATAAAATGTCAAAACATGATCAAACAGAGGCTAGTTTTTACCGTTGAATTCAATAATTGTTTGAAAGTGAACTCACCAAATATCCTCGGAGCCATCGTGAGTTTACACTTATAGTCCAGTTAATACAGTATCTTTCCCTATGAAAAGCAGGCGTATCTTTCCCTCTTAATACCTCGAAAACATGAGTAAAAATCTGAGAAAACGGACTGACTGAGGCTTCAAACCGAGTGTAAACACACATTCACCGGAGGCGAAGGTAGGACCGCGGTTTGTACCGGAAGTAGCCGAGAGAAGCCGAGAGGAGCCGAGTAAAGCTGAAGAGAGAAGGGCGCGCGGCCTTTAGCGCCACCTGCTGTTCGGAGGACGGAGAGGCGAAGTCCCGCCCATCTACTTCCGACCCATGGGACCTTATTTCTGAAAAAGTCTGTATTGAAGTCAATGGGGAGAGAAAGATTATCTTTCGATCCCGTTTGAATTGTGCCATGAATTACACATATGATGTTTGTCAATCTTAAAAAATAATTTCCATGTCAAAAAAGTCACAGTTTGTTGTAAAACTGTTGAAATATAAGACTATGAAAAATATGCAATTAGAAAGACTACAAATTCCAGAATCCCAGTCCCGCATGCTGGCTCTTACGGAACCGACTCCCCTTGTGTGTATGTACAGACTTGCAAAATTATCTTTTAAATTGACAAACATCATATGTGTAGTTCGTGGCACAATTCAAACGGGATCGAAAAAGATAATCTTTCTCTCCCCATTGACTTCAATACATACTTTTTCCGAAATAAGGTCCCATGGAGCTCCCCCGGAAAGGCAAGGACTTCACCTCTCCATAACATTAATTCTCTCTAATTAGTAATTCTCTTACAGTAAATAAATAGATACATAAGTAAATAGGTAAATAGGTAAATAGGTAGATAGGTAGATAGGTAAATAGGTAAATAGGTAGATAGGTAAATAGGTAATTATATATATATATGCCGTTAAAAACTGTGCAAAATATACCTGGCTGCTAAATCCTCAGAACTGTTACAGGGTGTGTTTTTTGTAAAATGTGTAACTTTTTTTATTACAATTTCTTTTTTTATCTGTAATGTATGCATGCTTCTTAGTTAATATTAAGCTGCATGTCTTTGGCTCTTTTCTGCTGTAACAATGTACATTTCCCCTCTGTGGGACTAATACATGTATTCTGATTCTGATCCTGATTCTGAGGTAAATAAGATAAGATAAGATAAGAAGTACTTTATTGATACCAATTTGGGAAATGTTTGTACATTAGAGAAATTAAAAAACTAGAAATAATCAATCAAAATAGGTAAGTAAGTAATAACAACTTTAGATCCTATACATGAATCCTGATTCTCTTGCAGTAAATAAATAGGTCAATAAGTCAATAGGTAAATAGCTAAATAGGTAAGTAAGTAATACATAACTTCAAATAATATAAATACAAATAAATGATATCTTAAATTATTTTTAATACAAATGTTCCTGCTGAAAACATATGTTTCTTAATCATTTGAGTCTTTAATGCCACTCTCTCCCCTGACAACATCACATTTATATTTACACTTGTTGATTTGATGCAATTACTTTTAGGTACATTTATCCAATTTAAATACATTAAATTAATCCTTAAATGCTTTTCCTGAAAGGTGTGAAATTGACATATAGTAAAAGTCCAAAACCAGCTGCCAAATTGATGATTGAAATAAGTACATCAGTTTTTACCAAATACAATCTGTTAAATGTTTGGAAAATACTGTCAAACATGAAAGATGGTGTAACTTACCGAGCAGTGAGCAGACGGGAGATGAATGGGATGGATGCTCATTAGGATGCTGCCAACACTTTTTAAGAGAAGCAGAGATCCACCCCTAAAGAGAGAGAGAGAGAGAGAGAGAGAGAGAGAGAGAGAGAGAGAGAGAGAGTATAGAGAGAGAGAGAGAAGAGAGAGAGAGAGAGAGAGAGAGAGAGAGAGAGAGAGAGAGAGAGAGAGAGAGAGAGAGAGATGGTGTACACATGTTTTTATTGATGTTATATATTGGACAATGTGCGCATTCATTTTGGTACTTTTTTAATTAAATCTTGTCTTTTTATTGCACATTTACCCGCAATATTCTTCTGTTTTATGCCTTTTCCCTTTCTTATTTTATTTATTACACATTTGTATTTGAACATCTTGTGTATTTAAACATTTTTTTATATCATTTTTTTAAATTTATTGCACATTTTTACTTACAACTTCTTATGTTTGTATAAATATTTGTATGTTTTAATTTAAATGTTATTCTTAAATTGGGCCACTTTCACAAAACTCAATTTCCCTCAACTTAACTTCTATTTTTGTAGTTCCAATTAGTAATAGTTGGACGTGTAAAATGCATTTTGAATTCTCCGAAATCCGGCTGTACGTTGGGGATTTTAACATTTTGATTCAGGGAAACATGCATTGAACTTTTGACTTCAAGAAATGAAAAATAAATGCTGATATCATGGAACCCTTTAAGAGATCTCCCTGAACACAGGATCCAGTCACTGAGTGGTTTACAGCTCAAGAGTGACGTCACTTTCCTAACGTCCGAATGATAGTTCATGGAAATACATTAAATCATCATTACATCCAAAACATAGATACAAAACCCATACATCGGCTGTAGGCACTAGAGAGGAGATCATTGATTTGCAATGAAGTGCTTTGTGTGTGTCATGAGCTTTAACATGAATGCTGCACTCTGTGGTGAGGAGTTTCATTTCAACCGGAACAAAATGTAAGTTGCTTTACATTCCTGAAAATCAGTTTACAAGTCTTCCTTGGAAATATAAACCCAATCATTTTTATTCTTGGAGAACCTGTCAATACAGGGTTTACAAGTTTCTTTTTTATCATTGATGACGCCAACATTTGCTCCAACACTAAACACAGAGCTGTAACTGACGGGAGGGTCATTAGTTTTGCAGGTATTTGGTTATAAATGAAAGTATTAGGGGACTTGGACTTTGGACTTAAGGGTCGTCGGTTCACGTCGGACTAGTAGCTGGAGAGGTGCCAGTTCGACTCCTGTGCCCTGCCGAGGTGCCCTTGAGCAAGGCACCGAGCCCAAAACTGCTCCCCATGTACCGCCTGTTGAAGAAAACGTATGTCCGGATAGGTTAAAGGTGGGGTAGGTAATTCACTTCAGAAACACTTTTTGTTATATTCCATGGAATGCTCTTAACATCCCGATAGCAATGAATACATTAAAGGGCCCATGTCATGCTTTTCCGGTTATTACCCGTCCCCTTGTGTGTTATGAAGGTTTTTCTGCATGTAAACGGTGTGCAGAGTCAAAACCCTCAAAGTACACCCTGTAGCGAGTACAACTCTAACACAGAAAAGACCTGTCTATGCTGCCCCAGAACGCCTCGTTGGAGATTTCTCTTTTTCCATTGTTTGCTTCCTGGGTTCTGTGACGTGTGAACACCCAAATCAACAACAAATGACCGGATTGGCCCAAATGGACCAATCCGCGGAGCACCTCACACACCAGGATCCCTTGGCTAACTAACAGGGAGTCCCCATTGACTTGCATAGAGCTCCCTGAACGCTGGGAATAGACGAGTTGGGATGGCAGAGAAATGCTCTCTGCAGACCCATTCTCACAGAGTTATAAACCTTTGTTTTACTCAATATCAAGCCACACTTATTGTTTTTACTTCGGCTGTGAGTGTTTGTGTGTGCTCAGGATGAGTTTCGCTTGTTCTCCTGTATCGCCGACCCGGAAACCTGTCCGCTCCTCGCAGCAGCTCGCAGCAGCAACGAGCCTCGCAACGAGCCTCGCAACGAGCCTCGCAACGAGCCTCGCAACGAGCCTCGCAACGTCCTGACCAATCAGAGAACACTGGGCTCACAGGGAGGGGGGGGGGGGGGGGGGCAGGAGCTCCAACAAGCCGTTTAGGACAGAGAGTGAATACACATACTATACAGAGATGCTGGATGAGAAACCAATGTGAGTTTGGAAAATTGCACAATTTAAATCTATTCTAGTAGACCTCAACAATGGAAATATGATCAGTAGAAATGGCCAAGACATGGGACCTTTAAATGCTTTGACAATAAATACATACAAAATTCCATCTGTGGAAGCAGTAACGCTGTAAAAAGCACGGCCAATCATTTTAGCCGGCCCGTGTATTTTTTTTCATGTACTGTAAAAATGTGTATTTACATATAAGAAATAGTTTAAAATCAATAGAAATAGTAACAATCAGTGTACACGTACAGACTGTAATCCCCACACAGAATTGTCAATATTATTTGTGTAATAAAAAAAAAAAAAATGATGTCTTACGCAAACCCGACCAAACACTTTTTTATTTCGGTACTGTGTGGTTAAAACTATGTGAGTGAAAAACTGAATTTCCCCTATGAGGATAAATAAAGGTTAATCTTTCTAATCTTCTATTGGACACACATTTGGATCCAATGGTGGCACTGGAAGAACAGTCAGAGAATAACCAAAGTCAGTAGGATTTCGTTTTTTCGGGACCATGAATGGCCGTACCAATTTTCAAGGTCATACAACCAGTTGGTGTTCAGATATTTCAGTCAAAGCAATGAACAACGCCATCCCAAATTCCAATATTTGCTCGTTCCTGCATCTTAAATGTAAAAGATGGCTGCTTTTAACTCTTCATACCATTGAATATGACATTACAGGTTAAATGGCACTTCATAGCGTTAATTCCATTTGTCGATGTTGCCGTCCAATTTTGTATTGATCACTTTTTATCAATTATTAATAGACATGCCCCCCTTAGAAAATTCAGAGTTAAGAATAGGAACACTCCATGGTTTACTAGAGAACTATCTGATCTCATTCATGATCGGAATAAGCAATGGTCCTTAGCTACAAAGTCTAACACTAGTGATGACTGGCTTCTTTTCCGTGTCCTCAGAAATAAAAGTGTAGCCCTTATTAAAAAAGCTCAAGCTGATTACTATCTGAGCTTAACCACTGATAGTTTTAATGACCATTCTGAATTCTGGAAAACAATTAAATCACTTCAGAACAAGAAGGTTTCTAGTTTCCCACGAAAACTGAAGGTCAGTTATTCTTTTATTTCAGATTCAGATGGTATGTCTAATGCTTTCAATGCTCACTTCAAAAAGGCTGGTCACATTTTTGATGATCAAAGTCATGACTCTCTAAATGGTCGTACGCACAGCCATAGTCAAGAGATGAACTCCCCTGTTTTTGATTTAGCTTATTCCTCGGTTTCTGAAGTCTTACACGGTTTGCACTCAATTGATCCTAAAAAGTCTGCCGGGCCTGACGGCCTAGATCCTTTCTTTTTAAAAATTGCAGCTCAGATGATAGCACAACCAGTAACTGATATGTGTAATCTCTCCCTGTCCACTCACACACTGCCAGCTGTGTGGAAGCAAGCTCTGGTATCGCCCCTCTTGAAAGCTGGTGATCCCACGGAGTTGAATAACTATCGTCCTATCTCAAATCTTTCTGTGTTATCAAAGATTCTTGAGTCCCTAGTTTCTACTCAGCTAAAACTTTTTTTAAATTCACACAACATCCTTAACCCAATGCAATCTGGATTCAGATCAAAGCACAGTACTGTGACTGCCAGTCTGAAAGTCTTAGACGATATTAAGGCTGCTTTGGATAAGAAATCAGTTTGTGTTGCATTGTTTATTGACCTAGCCAAAGCATTTGACACTGTAGATCACCACATTATGTCTAATGTTATGTTGGTGTCTCGTTTAGGTCACAATGCCATTTGCTGGTTTCAGAGTTATCTAACCGTACTCAATGCGTCAGGTTGGGTAGTACTGTCTCTGACCCTGTCACCATGGAGAAGGGAGTTCCACAGGGCTCTATTTGGGGGCCCTTGCTCTTTTTATTATATGTAAACAATATTTGTAATCAGATGCAATTTTCTACCTATCATATGTATGCTGATGACACTATTGTATACTCATGTGCTCCTTCTCTGGATATGGCCGTTTCCAATTTAAAATCAGATTTTATCACGCTGCAGCAGCATGCGCTTCTTGATTCCAAACTGCTATTGAACGGTAAGAAAACCAAAGCAATGCTTTTTGCTCCCAAGTCAGCGTCCTCCTCTTGCCTCTCCATTGACACCCTTGATGGTGTTTCTGTTGAGTTTGTCGACACATACAAATATCTGGGCTTTTGGTTGGACAGAAATCTAAACTTTAAACATCACATTGAAGTTCTAACAAAGACATTGAAATTCACTCTTGGCTTCCTTTTCAGACTTAAATGTTGTTTTTCAACTTCATCCCGTAAAAGGTTGGTCTCTGGCTTATTCCTGTCCCAGCTGGACTACGGTGATACCATTTATAGATTTGCCTGTCCCACTGTTTTGGCCAAACTTGACCCACTCTACCATGCTGCACTGCGTTATATATCAAATGCACCCTATAGGACTCATCATTGCACATTGTATAGCCTAACTGGATGGTCCTCACTTAGTATGCGTAGGATGCAGCATTGGTTTTTATTAATGTATAAAGCCATTTTAGGTAAGCTTCCACTGTACATATGTGCCAGATTTGCTCCAGTTTGTGACTCTTACAACCTCAGATCCAGTGCCTGGATACGGGTCCAGGTTCCTGCTGTGCGGACTGAGGCTGGAAAAAGGAGTCTTTTTTATGATGGTCCTTGGTCTTGGAATGACCTTCAATCACGCCTCAAGCTGACGGCACTTGTCTCAATAGCCTGTTTTAAATTGAAGTTGTCTGAAGTCCTCACCACCAGCTGCTCTTGCAGTAATAAGTAGTGTACCTTTCTTACTGTCCCTAATGTGCACAATGTAGTGACTGCTTTTTCGTCTTTTGTTTTCTTAGTTGTGTTCTCTATATTTTATATGTCTGTGTTATGTGTTATGTGTAACGTTGCTGCCTTCTTGGCCAGGTCAGCATTGAAAATGAGATTTTATCTCAATGCTTTTTTATCTGGTTAAATAAAGGTTAAATAAAATAAAAAATAAATTACATAATAAATATCTTTGGATGTTGGACGAAAAAAGCACCTTGCATTTTCCCCCTTATTTGGAGTATTTTATAAACTAAATTATTGATTGTTAAATTGCTGCCGGATTCATTATGAACATAACTGTTAGTTGCAGCGAAACAAACATGCGTTCTTTGCCAATCCACCAAAAACAACTTGTGAGTCGGAGGGTTAAAATGTCCTCTGACGCAATAACTGTCTGTACAAAATGAAATTGAACCCCATAACATAGACGCTCATGTAGTTTTATAGAGTCAGGGTTTATAATAAAACATCACACTCTCACAAAGACCCATTGGAAGAACCCTCATGTGATTGAGAACATTCTCAGCTACGCCATCAGACTCCTCTGCATGTGTTTATCTGGTTATCAATTTGGGTTGGAACCGTTTTCTCAGAAATAATTAGCGGGCAAAGCCAGAAAATCAGGAATGTTCAAAAGAAAAAACCCAGAGACAGAGCTGTGATTGAAGCAGACACGAACCTTTTGACTTGCTCTGAAGTTTTATAGGGGGTGTTTTTTAAGAGAAATGTCGTGCAACTGTATATCAATAGGTTTGTGCATGTGTAAAATAATAGCTCCTTGTGTTCCGATGTTTGAAATTGCGTGCAAAGGAATAAAATGACCAGGCAGGGACTACAGATGATAATAAGCTTACTCTGGCACGTCTACATTAAGGTGAAAACTTAAATGTTGATTAATGTGCACTGTCTAAAACACAAAGCTAAAATAATATAGTATGTGAATATGTTTGCACCACAAACTGTAAATGGACACATTTGCGGGGATATTTGTAAATGTGTACCATCTGTTGAAGAAAACTGATGTTTGGATACGTTAATACATTTACGTTACGTTTTTTGAGTGCAAATAATTCGGTTTTCATGTTAAAATGTGTATTTACATTAAAAAAGTTAATACAAATAGTGTAAAAATAATAGAAACAATCACAATTAGTGTACCCGTACAGACAGTAATCTCCACACAGAGTTTTAAATAATATTTGTATAATAAAAAACTGATATTTTACCAACCAAACGCTTTTTGATTTGTTATTCTTGGCTTGCCGTAGTGTTTATACCCAATCTAGCCAATATGGCGTCCGGCAGTTAGCCAGTTAGCTTGATTAAGGCAAGTATTTACAATTATTGTCATTTTAAGTACATATTGTGGGAAATTAGCGGGTTTGTAATGAAAGGAATTGTTTTGAAATGATATCAAGAAGTTAAAAAGTGGGTAAAATGTGTGTATTGTGGTTATAAGAACGTATTTTACGTCACTGTCAAAAACGGTCAGTTAGCCGTTAGATAGCCGTTAACTCACATTCACACAATTATTCTCGTTCTAAGTACATATTGAGGGAATGTGAAGGCATTATTATGAAAGGATTTGTATTGAAATGATATCGGCAAGTTTAAAAACGTGTTGGATTAGTGTATTGTGGTTGGAAAAACGTATTTTCTCACCTAGAAGGAATAAATAAAGCAATATTTTTACAATTATTGTCGTTTAAAGTACATATTGAGGGACATCAGAGGTGTGGTTATAAAGGGATTTGTTTTAAAATAATATTCAGCTGTTAATTGAAATGAGTGTATTGTGATTTAAATAACGTTTATTTCGTACTTAGACGTAACTGTCAATAACGGTTAGATTTACTCCAGGTGGAACTAAAGTCTGATTTAACACTTGATTAGATTTCACATCATTCATCCACATCTGTGAAGTAACTAAAGGTATTAAATACATGTAGTGGAGTAAAAGTACACCTCTGAATTTAAGTGGAGAAGAAGTATAAAGTATCATAAAATGGAAATATGAGTAAATGTACTGTTAGAAACATATCACTCGTCACCAGCTTGAGCTTCAATCTCAGGATCCATGTATTTGTGATCCTCTCCAGAATGGAAGTAGTCATCACATACAGAGCATCAACTAGTTCCTGAACAGTGTCCTTCACATGCTGATATCCAAGAGAGGGAGTTACACAGTCACAAGATGGAGGAATAGAAAGCAGTATTCAATGTTTACTTCAGATTAGCTCCACGTCAGAAATGATCATGCTTGTCATATGTCTATCTCCATAGAGGCTGAATCATCATGTTAATCACATAGCTATCATATGCCTCAAACAGTCCTGATGCTCTTCTAGGTAATCATACATCCTGTCATGCACACAGCTACAGTTGGGATACCTTTGTTATCATGTGGACTCTCATATTGGAAGAGGACATTCACTATTTTCCCAACATGTACTTATTGACCTCTTCCCTCCTCTGTCTGCAGGTTATCTCCCCTCTTCTCTCCGTGTGTTTTGGGGAGTTTCCGCCCAGATGTCGGAGGTGGAGGAGCTGCGTCCCGTCCCCAGGGAGAGGGCCATCTTGGAGAGTTTCTTCACGCAGCTCGGCATGTTCTCCTTCGACCGGGCTAAGGACTACGTGGAGAAGGAGAAGGACAGCAGCAGCCGCAGCGGGGGGGCCGTCTGGGCCTCGCTGCTGGGAGCTCTGGGACACCTGGCAGCAGCTGAGAAGGCCTACCACAACATGACATTCCTGGGTCAGAAAATGGGTAAAACATGGGGAATAATGTCAAATATAATCACAGGAAGGAGTGGAAACTACCCATAGCAAGGGTGGACAATAGTAGTAATGGTATCATCTAAAAGAAATAATATAATCACAGGAGGGGGTGTAAACTACCTAGATTAGAGCAAGGCTTGGCAATAGTAACAATGGTATCATCTTAAAGAAATAAGATTATTACATAAGTGTAATGTAGTACATTTACTCAAGTACTATACTTATATACAATTTTGAGGTACTTGTATTTACTTTAACCACAATTCAAAGGTAAATATTGTATTTTCTCCTGCCCTACATTTACATGACAGTAGTACATAAAGTATACACCATGTGCTCCACATTGGCTAATTAGAACTTTGAAAATACTCTTATATATATATATATATATTTGTTAGTAATTAAAACAAGACCAAATCAAGTTATTTAATATGAAACAGTAAAAATGGCCTTTGTACACCTTGAGCACTTCCTTGAGTACATTTAGCTGATAATATACAATGACATTTCTCAACATTTCAGAGACAAATGTTGTACTTTTTTCTACACTACATCTATTTAACATTCATAGTAACCTTTTACACATAAAACACATGGCATGCTGAAATGATATGATGCTGTACTTTACGTCAAATCATCCCAGTATTTGACAGATTGTGTGTAATATACTTGGGTACCAATAGTTAAAATACTGTTATTACTAACAGGCTAATATACATAAGATATCATTTATTGTATTATTTTTAGGTGAAATTAAGTTGAATCCTTGTAAAGTCTTATTTCAGCTGACAGACTGCTAACACCAGGTGGCGCTGTAGCTCATGAATCCTGGAAGAAATCCATTTCCTCTCCTGCAGCAAACACTGATTTCTTCCTCCTCCTCTTCCTCACTTTTTTTATATATATATTTGTATAGATCGTTACTGGAAAACGGCTAAGATAAGAAGTACTTTATTGATCCCAATTTGGGACATGTTTGTGTTTCAGCAGCATAAAAAGACAAGGAGAAATTAATGAATGTAGACATGGAAGTAGTAAATAAAGTAAAGGGCTTCTTACATCCATCATATTTCTCAATCATGCTAAACAGTTTAATTGCATTTAGATATTTCATTAATGTAAAGGTCCCCTATTATACTGTTTCTCATCAATATATCACAGCTCTCAGATATATCCAGAGCCTGTCTCTGATTGGCTGGAACACCAAACAGATCATTGCAGCATTACCCATAATCCCCTCTGTTTCAGCCCTGTTTCCAAAGTGCTGATTCTCTGGGTGTTTCTCAATGTCGAGTAAAGCTGCTCCAGAGCCACTATTTCAAGCATACTACGTCATCGAGTGCCGCCGAAGGACTGTTCCAATCTCCAGCATACTTGGAAATCTACCGAGCCCGGCGTACTCCGTTTGGAGAAATATCGAGGCTGCACATGAGTAGACTCCGCGGTCTTAAAATCCCCACAATGCTTTGCGCACGGACCAATTTTCCCAAATTTGTGGCGGAAGATGTAAGGCGGGGCCTCTCATATGACGCACACCTGCACACTTGCTAGCGTGTTCCACACTTTGTTTTCCGAATGCCAGGAAGTATTCTTGACTCGCTTCTGAAGCAAGATGCTCGGCAGACATGTGCTACCAAGCAAGCGTACTCGCATTGAGAAACACCCTCTGTCTGTTACTTTAGATGAAAATAAGGAGCCCCTCCCCACGCCCCTCTGACAGAGATTTGGTTACAAAGAACTCAATGGTGCTCTAGGAGGAGATTCAGGTGATAAGGGGGGGGGGGGGTTACCTTGGTTGCTGATTGGCTAATGGTTACACAAGACAAAACATCGTTATGACATCATAAAGTGGCCAAAATCTGATCAGCTCATTTCAGACAGGTTTTTATAGAAATGGATCAAAAAGAGAGAGAATCTTTGTTCCTGAAACTTTCAGAGTCTCTTTCCACAGAGGGGACACATGTTGATGAAGAAGAGACATGAAGAAGAGGGGACACATGTTGATGTAGAAGAGACATGAAGAAGAGGGGACACATGTTAATGTAGAAGAGACATGAAGAAGAGGGGACACATGTGATGTAGAAGAGACATGAAGAAGAGGGGACACATGTTGATGTAGAAGAGACATGAAGAAGAGGGGACACATGTTGATGTAGAAGAGACATGAAGAAGAGGGGACACATGTTGATGAAGAAGAGACATGAAGAAGAGGGGACACATGTTGATGAAGAAGAGACATGAAGAAGAGGGGACACATGTTGATAGAATGTGAGACAGAGGGGACCATGTGATAGAAGACATGAAGAAGAGGGACACATGTTGATGTAGAAGAGACATGAAGAAGAGGGGGACACATGTTGATGTAGAAGAGACATGAAGAAGAGGGGACACATGTTGATGTAGAAGAGACATGAAGAAGAGGGGACACATGTTGATGTAGAAGAGACATGAAGAAGAGGGGACACATGTTGATGTAGAAGAGACATGAAGAAGTGGATTTTGCACAACAGGGGACCTTTAATCTTGTGCTGCTCCTCTCTCTCTCTGCAGGCGGACAGTCCTTCTTCAGCAGGAAGGACTCGATCCGCAGCCTCTACACCTCGCTGTACAATGAGCTGAGGAAGGTGGTGTCGGGGGGGCGTCACGGCGCTCCAGGCTCCGCCTCCTACCTGGAGGACCTGCTGTCTCACCTGTCAGAGCAGCTGTGCCACTTCACTCAGGCTCGCATGGACCTGTCCGAGCTCTACGAGAAGCTGCACGCGCTGAGCGGACAGAAGAGCTTCAACTCTGAGGAGCTGCTGAGCTCCATGCAGGCCGTCAGCTCCAAGTACTGCTCCAAGTGGGTACTAATACACACAAGTTGCTACTAATACACACACGTTGCTACTAATACACACAATACTCCAGCACTGTGCTGATGTGCAATACTGAGGTACTGTAGTTGAGTTTACTTCGACTGCACTATATTTCAGAGAGAAATATAGTTCCCTTTACATACTATATCTATTTTACACCTTCAAGTAATGGTTATTTTGCAAGTATCCAAGTGGGTACTAATACACACAAGTGGGTACTAATACACACAACTACTACAGTACTGTAGTTGTGTGCAATACTGAGGTACTTTAGTTGAGTTTATTTCGACTGCACCACATTTCAGAGAGAAATATTGTCCCTTTTACAGACTACTTATTATACACCCTAAATTACTGGTTATTTGCAAATAAATAAGGTTTTACATTTTTAAACATATGATCAATTTATAAAATATCCTGCTTTCGTTCAGAAATTCTGCTTTTGAGTCATTTTAGTCCGTTTACGTCTTAATTAAGTGACAAAATGAAGCATTTCAGATCATAAATTAAAGGTAGGGGAGGTACTAATAGGTAAGAATGGAGAAACCAGCTCGAGTGCGCTAGAATTTGAAAATACACAGCCGGAAAAAAATCTGCCCTTTCCTTCAGACTTCCTCACAGAGCCCCTCCTCCAACACACACAAACGTGCACATGACCAATGAGGGCACGAGATCAGTTTGTGCACAGATGGAAGGCTGACAGGCAGGTAGGCCATCCAGTTATTTTAGCCGGGCCGGCTCAGATGATTGGTCGTGCTTTTTATAGCGCTACGGCTTCCACAGATGACATTTTTGTATGTATGTATTGTCAAAGCATTTAATGTATTCATTGCTATCAGGATGTTAAGAGCATTCCATGGAATATAACAAGTGTTTCTGAAGTGAATTACCTACCCCACCTTTAAGGGTTTCTACGGAAAAAAAAACGAAAGGACAGTTGTGTCTTTAGGACTCAGAACACAATTAGCAGCTCTAAAATAAACTTCTTCCACCTCCTTTACCTGCTGTGTTCTGGATTATAATTTATTATATCATATACATTAATCTTGTTAGGGAGAGAGTGACATATCGGGGTTGGAGGAGGAAGACAATCTGCTTAAATCGCAAAAACACAAACCAACTTCTCCCTGGAGACGTGTCAGCAGAAACTGCAGCAGAAACACACACTGTGGAGGGATAACACACACTACACACTGTGGAGGGATAACACACACTGTGGAGAGATAACACACACTACACACTGTGGAGAGAGAACACACACTATAGAGAGAGAACACACACTACACACTGTGGAGGGATAACACACACTGTGGAGAGATAACACACACTACACACTGTGGAGGGATAACACACACTGTGGAGAGATAACACACACTACACACTGTGGAGAGATAACACACACTACACACTGTGGAGAGATAACACACACTACACACTGTGGAGAGAGAACACACACTACACACTGTGGAGAGAGAACACACACTGTGGAGAGATAACACACACTACACACTGTGGAGGGATAACACACACTACACACTGTGGAGAGATAACACACACTACACACTGTGGAGGGATAACACACACTACACACTGTGGAGGGATAACACACACTACACACTGTGGAGGGATAACACACACTGTGGAGGGATAACACACACTACACACTGTGGAGGGATAACACACACTGTGGAGAGATAACACACACTACACACTGTGGAGAGATAACACACACTACACACTGTGGAGGGATAACACACACTACACACTGTGGAGGGATAACACACACTACACACTGTGGAGGGATAACACACACTGTGGAGAGATAACACACACTACACACTGTGGAGAGATAACACACACTACACACTGTGGAGGGATAACACACACTACACACTGTGGAGGGATAACACACACTACACACTGTGGAGGGATAACACACACTGTGGAGGGATAACACACACTACACACTGTGGAGGGATAACACACACTGTGGAGAGATAACACACACTACACACTGTGGAGGGATAACACACACTGTGGAGAGATAACACACACTACACACTGTGGAGAGATAACACACACTACACACTGTGGAGAGATAACACACACTACACACTGTGGAGAGAGAACACACACTACACACTGTGGAGAGAGAACACACACTGTGGAGAGATAACACACACTACACACTGTGGAGAGAGAACACACACTGTGGAGAGATAACACACACTACACACTGTGGAGAGAGAACACACACTACACACTGTGGAGAGATAACACACACTACACACTGTGGAGGGATAACACACACTACACACTGTGGAGAGATAACACACACTACACACTGTGGAGGGATAACACACACTACACACTGTGGAGGGATAACACACACTACACACTGTGGAGGGATAACACACACTGTGGAGGGATAACACACACTACACACTGTGGAGAGAGAACACACACTACACACTGTGGAGGGATAACACACACTACACACTGTGGAGGGATAACACACACTGTGGAGGGATAACACACACCGTACATCACTGATATGAGCGAGCTCAGGAGGGTGAAGGTGAATCTTCATGTCAGCAGACCTCAAGATATATGGGGAGCCTAAATAGTGTGTGTGTGTGTGTGTGTGTGTGTGTGTGTGTGTGTGTGTGTGTGTGTGTGTGTTGTGTGTGGTGTGTGTGTGTGTGTGTGTGTGTGTGTTGTGTGTGTGTGTGTGTGTGTGTGTGTGTGTGTGTGTGTGTGTGTGTGTGTGTGTGGTGTGTGTGTGTGTGTGTGTGTGTGTTGTGTGTGTGTGTGTGTGGTGTGTGTGTGTGTGTGTGTGTGTGTGTGTGTGTGTGTGTGTGTGTGTGTGTGTGTGTGTGTGTGTGTGTGTGTGTGTGTGTGTGTGTGTGTGAACTGTAAGGGAGTACAATGTGAAATAGTTTTATAAGACATCAAATAGCGTAGCATTTAATAACAGATAGCAGCATCGACTTGTGTCTGAGACACACTTGTAATATGCTGCGATAAAAAACATTTAAAAATGTGTATTTTAATTATATTATTATTTATATATTTGAATAATGTTTTTAAGAATTGTACACATTTTTTACATTTGCTTACTTTAACTATTTTATAATTTTTTATGTTTATTTTATTTTTGAAATTGGAGAGAATTAAAGGTACTGAATCAAAATGTATGAATAACATAATTCACATAAATTACACATTTGACTCAGAGGTCTTTACAGAGTGACTCACCTACAAACAAGGCTTCAGTCACTACATTTGTTCTTACTCATCTCCTCTTCCTCCTCCTCCTCCTCCTCTTCCTCAGGTTCCACCACCCCATCCTGAGTCGAGTGGAGGAATGTTTCCAGACTGAATTGGACGTTGTTCTTCAGCTTCTTCGCTGCCAGGCTCAGATTTCCGAGTGGAGTTTCCTTCCCGCTCTGCTCTCTCTCCACGGCGCCAACTCCAAGCTGCTGGCCTGGGGTCAGTTGTTCCAGCGGCAGAAAGAGACCCGGAAGCATATGTTCGGAGGTCAGTCCCAGAAGGCCGTGCAGCCGCCTCACCTGTACCTGTGGCTGCAGCGCTTCCAGGTGTTGCTGCTCGCTAAGTTCAGCTTCTACTTCCACGAGGCTCTGAGCCGGCAGACGGCAGCCGGGGACATGAAGGCTCTGACGGCCCGCACCGCGCCCGACTTCAGCGGGAAGATCTGCTCCTTCATCAGGAAGCACGACGCTAGCAACGTGTCGCTGGTGTTCGACAACAGAGGCTCAGAGAGCTTCCAGGGACACGGGTACTGTCACTTTTTAAATGTTTTAATGTATTCTGTGTGACTGGCGAAGCCACACACAGTATAGAATTCGACATACTTACGTATCTCATCTTATTCTCCTTCTTCCGTTTTTTTTTCCAACTATTGCTCGGCTGGCCACAATTTTCACTCTTCATACATAATTTGGTGAACATAATGTAGGGAAATGTGTCACGGCCGCACCGATATGCTCATTTAATCCAACAGACTTCCACATATAGCAAACACGAGAGTCCTCAGGTGTTCGTCTGGTATCCTAAATACTCTGGGAGGATATTTAGCTGATTGGAGTTAAAGGTTTTTACTTAGAAGCAATAATGCAGCACAATATTGTTAATACGTTCTCTGACAGGCTGTCTCTCGTTCAGTGGCAGGGCGTTGCCGTGGAAACGCTTTGATCTTTGAACACACCTGTTGGTCGTTAACTAAATCCAGTGGTCATCTAAAGATGTTCAGAAACGATGCAGGAATGTGGTGCAAGAATCCAAACATGTGACAGATAGTTCAAATAGTCGTTGTACCTTAACAATACAACTAATGCTATTAATACTTACTCAGCAGGGGTAATGTTAGCATCGGGACCCAAGTTTCAGTCATACAGTCAACATTTCTCTGAATTTTCTAGTTTATTCTACTATTTCAACAATTCAACAGTTTATACATCCGAAAAAAATGGGAGGGAGGGCAGAAAGCATCGGGTATACAGAGGAAGCCCCTCAGTAAAGTACTTCTCATCTTAACACCCATAACACGTCTCCTCCTCCAGGTACCATCACCCTCACTCGTACCGTGAAGCTCCGAAAGGCGTGGAGCAGTTTCCGGCCGTGGTGTCGCTGCCGACGGGCGAGCGTCCGCTCACCCATTGGCCGAACGTCATCATGATGATGGGCGACCGCGCCGCAGAACTCAAC